GGCAGTCCCAGGGGCCTGTCAAGGCAGGGGGTGTTGATAGGGGTCAGGAGACGGGGAACAGGGAGGGTTGGATGGGGGTGGGGTCCGAGGAGGGGGCGGTTAGGGGACAAGGAGCAGGGGGAGTTGGATGGGCCAGGGGTTCTGAGGGGGGGCAGTCAGGGGGCTGGAAGTGGGAGGGGCAGATGGGGTCGGGGGCCAGGCTGTTTGGAGAGGCACAGCTTTCCCTACCCAGCCCTCCATACACTTTTGCAACCCCAATGTGGCCCTCGGGCCAAAAAGTTTGCCCACCCCTGTTCTAGATTGATACAGCAGCTAATGCCTATCATTAACTGCTGCTTCAACAGAAGCACAACAGTTTTACAGTGAAAGTTTCGCCTCAGAACCAACTTCTCATCCTAAGAGGGCAGCAGAAATTATTTTTTAAAGTCACTGACAGATACAACCCCAAATCCCTCCCAAAACAGAGTTAAATCTGAAATTTACTACCAAATCTGTAGTAAATTAGAGACACAAGGTGGGTGAGGCAATATCTTTTATTGGACCAACTTCTGTGTTGGTGAAAAGACAAGCTTTCAAGCTTTCTATTCTGGATATTCTCTCTAATATCTTGACATCAACACAAGGGGATATTCTGGATATTCTCTCTAATATCTTGACATCAAGGGGGCCGTTCCCAGCTGGCATAATTTACAACAGCCCCAAGGCTGGAATTTTCACTGGGCCACCAAAAGACAGATCTGCAATCTAGGAATTAAGTCTCTGGCAAGGTTTCTACCACAAACTTGTGATGCACTATAATTGTTTTAAAAATAAAGGTTACAAACATTTTTTTTATAATGGTAAAAGTATATTTACTTCAGTCTCTTGTTATTCAAGTGGCTGAGCTATTTTTGTTCAAACATTCAACCCCTTAGATCAAAACAAGCCTGGAAAATTTCAGCATGAACTGTTTAGTCAATCTTACGTACAAATATTGTTACACACTATGCCCATAATTAGTAACATATTTGCAAAGCTCTCATATATTTAGAAAGCAAGTTATTTTATTATAACTCATCTATGGCCATCTAGGACTTTGTGGTTTAAACCAGTAGTTCTCAAACTTTTTTTCCGCGGACCACTTGCAAATTGCTGAGGGTCTCTGCAGACCACTTCATGATCTTTCCAAATGTTGTTTGTATCGTTAGCTAACTATTGTAAAGCACTTTGGATAAAAGTGCTATATTAAAAAAAAAAGTAATAAACAACTTTTCTTGTTCTACAAATAAAAGCACACAACTCATATTTTAATATCAGTAGTCTTACCTTCCTAATGTCTCTCCCCCACCACAGCAGCCACAGAGCTGAGGCTGGGAAGGAGGGCCGTCCCTCCCTGGCAGCCACAGCCCTGGAGCTGGGGAAAGTCACCTCTTTCTCTGGCCACTGCAGCCCTGCACATTCCCCCCACTCCTACTTCTCACCCCACTGCCCCCTCCCACCTACCCCCTATTCCCCCCAAGGGCACCACCTCACCTTACATGTGCATCTTCTCCAGGGTCCGGGCACCTAATTAGTGGAGCCACACCTGCGCAGTTCCACAAATTAGGTGGGTGGCCTTTCATTCTCTTGTGTGCGGCTGCCCAGGCGTGCAGATTAGAGGGAACTATCCGCGGACCACCTGAATGGAGCTCACGGACCACTGATGGTCCAGGGACCACAGTTTGAGAACCTCTGGTTTAAACCATGCTGCACATCATGGTTACCTGTAGCTCCAGGATGACAGTGGGGATAAATTCAGACCACCTAGCTCCAAAAGCACAGTCCCCTATCTCTTGAGCTGAAGGAAAATCTATATTAGCTTTTAAAAAGTACAGGACCAATCACGCACAATTGAGCAATTCTGTTTCCACCAATAGAAGGCAAAGGTACACAATCAATATTGGCACTTTTGCTATTCTTGACACACAGGAATTTGCATGTAAAACTCACATTAACACAGAAAAAATATACCACTTTTTAATGATTTCAACAGACGACTACTAAAAAAAAGTTGCATTAACAGCTGGACTATAGAAACAGTTTACTACAGATACCTTCAGAACACAGATTGGCTACGTAAATAACATGTTGCTTCAAAATAATTTTTAAAAAAGAGTCTCTCTCAAAATTAGTGAGTTCACAGCACTGATATACTGATGAAGAGGTGCTGATTTATAAGCTTTGCATTGTTCGGCTCTAACACATATACAAACTCTGGGTCTCATGCTATAATTCCTCTGTGCATGTAACTTCCACTGAAATCATCAGGAACTCCACACACTGAATTTTTTTCAAAATTAGACTCACTATCTGGGAATGAACTTCCCAATTTCAGTTTTACTGTATCTAGTTTGCAGACTTGAGAAACAAACAAAATTGGTTCATGCTCGAAATGTTACAGCGGAGTTTCCATTATGGGTCAACTTTAAAAGGGAATCCCAACAGATGATCTTCCAACTTTTTATGAATGGGCCTGTACTGCACTCTTTCCTCAGTCAAATTCATCACTGAAATCAGTGGGAGTTTTATCTGAGTAAGGACTGCAGACTTGATGCAATGTAACTCCAAGATTTCCAATATGATTTAATGTGCTTGTGGTTTAATTACGCCTCTTCTAGGAGGAACTGCTGCCCTTAAGTGACTGTTAATGGCAGGTTTCACTGTGCAAAGAAAAAAGAAGAACAGGAGGACTTGTGGCACCTTAGAGACTAACAAATTTATTAGAGCATAAGCTTTCGTGGACTACAGCCCACTTCTTCGGATGCATATAGAATGGAACATATATTGAGGAGATATATATACACACATACAGAGAGCATAAACAGGTGGGAG